CTAACAGAGAATGGCTTGACAGCGATATCGCAAGAGATTTGGTGACCGAAAGACGTGGCCGTTTTCTTGAGCATATTGGCACAAGAGAGGAAAGTGGCATCGAACTAGGGCGTGAGCAGTGTGGACACAGCCATTTCAGTTGCGAATGCTGAATTTGTATTTGTTGTTAGACTTGTAAAATACAATTTTATTTTTCTTGAAATTTGTTTTTCCTCTTCTTGGTTCTTTCGGTAAAGTCACGTAGAAGGGAAATAATAAAATAATAAAAATAAAACATTATAAAATACAATTCTCACGACGTTTCGGCCACAACGCAAGCAGCCGTCCTCGGGTGAAGGACAGGTCTGTCGGAAAGACAGCGTCTGTCTTTCCGACACACTATACTATACACTACACTACTATACACTACACTATACACTACACTACTATACACTACACTATACACTACACTACTATACACTACACTATACACTACACTACTATACACTACACTATACACTACACTACTATACACTACACCATACACTACACTACTATACACTACACTACTACACACTACACTACTACACACTACACTACTATACACTACACTATACACTACACTACTATACACTGCACTACTACACACTACGCTACACTACTATACACTACACTACTACACACTACACTACTATACACTACTATACGCAATACACTACACACTAGTGCTGTACCAGTGACGAATTGGCCACGTTCTGTTGACGTGACAGCCCTCACTAGTCGGCTGTGTCGGGTGGTGGCGGCTTTTAACGACGCATTTATATACTTACGCGATCTAACCCTAATAAACAAATACTTCGTACAAAGAAGTCTGCAAATATTGCACCCGCTACAGCGTGGGATCTACTGACGGAAACTTTAATTTTTTGTTAATGTGCGAAAGAAGTTGAACAAACGCGCGTGGGTGCCATGCACTTGAAAGTGTATTTGCTTTGTCTAATCATCCTCCTCAAATAGCACCTGCACACTCATTTGCAGCGGGGGGGGGGGTATTATAATTTACGGATCATTAGAAATACGCATAAAAAAATATTTGAGCTGCTTTAAATTTCCATTTGAAAGGCCAATTTTGTTGAGCAATCATTTGTGGCGTGGTCGCTTCTTTACTTGGCAAGACTTTTAAAAAAACTTCGTTTTATTTTAATATTTTTTTAAAAAGTGATTTGATTTACCTTTCCTAGACTTTGCTCTTCCATCGTGTTTTTTTTTGCTTGTGTTTGTTGTTGTAACCCTCTGACCCGCCCGACTGGATATCTGTTTAAAAAAAAGAGCTTTCATAGCTCATCGGATTCCTCCAGTAAACAATAAATATTCCTGCGGAGGGAGCTGGTAGGAACGTTGGATTGCTCGGTCAATGGCCAGGGTCAACGGCGGCGTGGTGTATTCCGCAAATATGCCCGACTGTGAGAGCGGGTACAATCCGGCGTGAGTAGGTTTAACGTTGAGTTTTATAAGGGCACCACGGGGTGACCAGGTGGTTCCTACCAGTATAACCTCGCATCAATTCAAGCAACGCGTCACATACTCCATTTTTCCTGTTTAAATAAAATATGTTTCATTCCCCGTCTTCCCTCATACATTGCGTTCATCCGAACGCTCTGGACCGCATTACCAGGGACATCTACAGCATCAGGCGGGGGGGGGGGGCTAGAGGAAAGGATCTTCTTTGGGGCCGTCCATAAATGACGTCACGCACCTGGGGGGGGGGGGGGTCAGACATTTGTGACGATGTGTGACGAGAGGGGGGGGGGGGGTTGAGAAATGTGACGTCACATCAAAATGCGCAACTTTAAATAAATATAGACAACACGTTCTACTTAATTAAATATACTTTTTAATAAATGTTTTCTCCCACAACATCAGAGTGCAGCGCCACAATTAGTGTATAGTGTAGTGTATAGTAGTGTATAGTGTAGTGTATAGTAGTGTATAGTGTAGTGTAGTGGTTCTTAACCTTTACTGCAGCCTTGCACCCCTTTGGTTCTCAATAATATTTAAAACGTGTACAATGTTAATAAATACATAGGGTTTGATTAAACAAAGTAGTTGTACGTACGCGTCCGTGCCTAATTTGTGTTTTCGATAATTTACAAAAAAAAAATCTGGCCGTGTTTCGGACCTCCCCCCCCACCACCCCCATTGGGTGCAAGGAAGGGGAATATTCCCGAGAGAGAGAGGACGTCCTTTGCGGAGATGGAGCGCAACGCGGTCAGCGATGGTGACAGAATCAGAGTCATCAGAATATTTACACGCACAGGAGCCCCATGAGCTATGAAGCTGTCCCCCCTTCCCCCAGAGATGCCCAGTAATGTTCACAGATGTCCCCGTGACGGCGTGCGGAGAGGCCTTCATCCAGCAGTGTGTAGACCATGGCTGCTGCTGCTGCTGATGATGGTGATGATGGTGGTGATGGTGATGATAGTGGTGATGGTGATGATGGTGATGATGGTGGTGATGGTGATGATGGTGATGATGGTGGTGATGGTGATGATGGTGATGATGGTGATGATGGTGGTGATGGTGATGATGGTGATGATGGTGATGATGGTGATGATGATGGTGATGCTGGTGATGATGGTGATGATGGTGATGATGGTGATGATGGTGGTATGCAGCACAGTGACTGCGCACTTGCTTGCAACGGAATTAACGATGCTAATGGTGGTGTCGGTGCGTGGGTGGCTTCGGTCAACACGCACACGGTGTGTGCCGAACGGTTTAATGCGGCGCTGTGAGTGGGAGCGGTGGCGCAGCGGTTAGCGCTACGCTGCGCTACAAACCCGGCTGACCCCGAGATCGATTTGCCACTCGCTGCCAACGCCGATGACGATTATCCGAATGAGTAGCTTGTGGAATGAGTAAAACATCTCGATTTAAAGCTTTCGTGACTGCACGGATTCATCGTCTTGGTTCTTTCGGTAAAGTCACGTAGAAGGGAAATAATAAAATAATAAAAATTAAACATTATAAAATACAATTCTCACGACGTTTCGGCCACAACGCAAGCAGCCGTCCTCAGGTGAAGAACAGGGCTGCACGGAAAGACGGCGTCTGAATGAGCACCACCAAGCTTGGCAGCAGTATATTTGCATTTTCCTTTGTCAAGGCGCCCTTCCCCCTCCAACCCAGCTTAAATATACGCTGCCAAGCTTGGTGGTGTTCATTCAGATAATGTCTTTCCGACAGCCCTGTTCTTCACCTGAGGACGGCTGCTTGCGTTGTGGCCGAAACGTCGTGAGAATTGTATTTATAATGTTTTATTTTATTATTTTATTATTTCCCTTCTACGTGACTTTACCGAAAGAACCAAGAAGCAGTAAAGCATCGTCACTGGGGAGACAAAGGCGACCGGGCATGGTGCTGGCCACCAACCCCCTCGTGTGCCGTGCCGGCCTTCATAGGTGCTCGCGAACAGCCCTTGACCCAACAGTCTGTTAAGTCTACACGGGGGACCTTTGTCTTGGTACAAAGTGTACCTTTTATGTGTGAGTGGGTGTGTTTGGGAATGCGTGAGTACGTGAGTGTGTGTATGTGTGTAAGCACATGGCGTGGTGTGTAAACATCGCCACTGGGGAGATAAAGGCGGCCGGGCGTTGTGCTGGCCACCCACCCCCTCGTGTGCCGTGCGGGCCTTCATAGGTGCTCGCTAACAGCACTTGCCCCTACAGTCTGTGAAGGCTATACGGGGCATCTTTGTCTGTGTGTGTGCGAGTAGGTGAATGTTTTTGTGTTAGTGAGTAGGTGTGTCTTTATGTACGTGTGTATAGGATGTGTGTGTATGTGTAATAGGTGTGTGTGTGTGTATAGGTGTGTGTGTGTACGTGTGTATAGGTGTGTGTATAGGTGTGTGTGTGTGTACGTGTCTAGGTGTGCGTGTGTACGTGTGTATAGGTGTGTGTATAGGTGTGTGTGTGTACGTGTCTAGGTGTGTGTGTGTACGTGTGTATAGGTGTGTGTGTCCGTATGTGGGGAGCGGTGGTGTAGCGGTTAGCGCGCTGCGCTATGAACCTGGCGACCCGGGTTCGATTCCCGCTCACGGCTAACACCAGTGACGATTATCTGAACCGGTCCTGGGCCTCCCCTAGGTCGACTCAGCCTTAAATGAGTACCTGGTGCGGTGTGTAAACATCGCCACTAGGGAGACAAAGGCGGTCGGGCGTGGTGCTGGCCACCCACCCCCTCGTGTACCGTTCTGACCTTCATAGGTGCTCGCTAACAGCACTTGCCCCTACAGTCTGTTCAGGCTATACGGGGGATCTTTGTCTTTGTGTGTCCGTGTCTACGTGTGTATAGGTGTGTGTGTATAGGTGTGTGTGTATAGGTGTGTGTGTATAGGTGTGTGTACGTGTGTGTGTACGTATGTATGTGTGTATGTGTTGTGTATGTGTGTATAGGTGTGTGTGTATGTGTGTATAGGTGTGTGTGTGTGTGGCGCAGTGGTTTGAATGGAACTCGGAGACACCAGTTCGAGCCCTGCTCACGGCCAATGTCAGTGACGAATATATGAACCGGTCCTGGGCCTCCCTTAGGTCAACTCAGTGTGAAAACACCAGGACTGGGCAGAGACAAAAGCGAGGTGCACGTAAAGCAGCACTTGCCCCAACAGCCTCTTCGGCTTATACGGGCGGGGGGGGGGATCTTTGTCTTTGCTATGCCGCACGTGGGTGGCTTAGCTGAACCGGTGTGTTCCGTGTGTGTGTGTGGGGCTTCCTCTCTGTGTGTGTGTGTCAGTGTGGGTGTGTGTCAGTGTGGGTGTGCGTGCGCGTGTTGCACTTTTGAGTGCAGCGAAGTGACGTGACAACGTGAGCCACCCTCTGCTCTCACTTCCACTCCTTCTCCTCCTCGTCACCGCCTCCCCCCCCCCGAGACCTCCTCCTCCCCCCTCCTCCTCCTCCTCGTACGTCTTTAATCTCCACCACCTTCAGTAACCTCCCCCCCCCCCACTTCCTCCACTACCGCCGTAACTCTCCTCTCATCCACCCAATATCTGCTGCTTCTACAACGCCTCCTAACTCGTTAACTTTCCTCCTCCTCCTACTCCGACCCTCCTCCTCCTCCTTTACCTCTTGCACCACCACCACCTCCACCTCCTTCTCTCTTTCCTCCTCAACCTGCTTCATCAAATCCACCTCCAGCCCTCCTCTGAACACGCTTCTCTCGATCGATCGATCGATCAATCGATCTGCCCGCGATGGCTCCTCTCGACAAGTTGCTGGCGACAGTCGCGAGACGCTTGGGTCGCGTGTGGCCCGGAGCGAGGCGCGAGTACACGCGGGTGGGCAGCGAAGACGCGGTGAGTGAGTGTGTGTGTGGCTGTGTGTGTGTTTGTGTGTGTGTCTGTGTGTGTGTCTGTGTGTCTGTGTGTGTGGCTGTGTGTGTGTTTGTGTGTGTGTCTGTGTGTGGCTGTGTGTGTGTGGCTTGTGTGTGTGTGGCTTGTGTGTGTGGCTGTGTGTGTGTGTGTCTGTGTGTGTGTCTGTGTGTGGCTGTGTCTGTGTGTGTGTGTCTGTGTCTCTGTGTGTCTGTGTGTGTGTCTGTGTGTGGCTTGTGTGTGTGTCTGTGTGTGTGTCTGTGTGTGGCTTGTGTGTGTGTCTGTGTCTCTGTGTGTGTGTCTGTGTGTGGCTTGTGTGCGTGTCTGTGTGTGTGTCTGTGTGTGTGTCTGTGTGTGTCTGTGTGTGAGTCTGTGTGTGTGTGTCTGTGTGTGTGTGTGTGTCTGTGTGTCTGTGTGTGTGTCTGTGTGTGGCTTGTGTGTGTGTCTGTGTGTGTGTCTGTGTGTTTGTGTGTGTGTGTCTGTGTGAGTGGCTGTGTGTGTGTGTCTCAGTGTGTGTGTCTGTGTGTGTGTCTGTGTCTGTGTGTGTGTGTCTGTGTGTGTGTGTCTGTGTGTGTGTCTGTGTGTGTGTGTCTGTGTGTGTGTCTGTTTGTGTGTGTCTGTGTGTGTGTCTGTGTGTGTCTGTGTGTGTGTCTGTGTGTGTGTGAGTATGTCTCTGTCCGTGTGTCGGTTAGCGCTGCGCTACGAACCCGGCGACCCGAGTTCGATTCACGTTCACGGCCACCAACAGTGACGATTATCTGAACCGGTCCTGGGTCTCCCCTAGGTCGACTAAGTCTCAAATGTGTACCTGGTGCGATGTGTAAACATCGCCACTGGGGAGACAAAGGCGGTCGTGCGTGGTGCTGGCCACCCACCCCCTCGTGTGCCGTGCCGGCCTTCATAGGTGCTCGTTAACAGCACTTTGCCCACAAAGTCTGTTAAAGTTTTCCGGATGATTCTTGTCTTCGTGTGTGTATGCCTACGATCCATCCCGAGTTTAACCAGGCTGTATTGTGCGTGGTAAACATAACCCTTGAAAGATCTGGACACGGTCCCATCGGTGAGCTCCTCCGGCAGGTGAGGCTTGCATTTGGCTGGGTCGCGTAACACGCGTGCCCAGCCACCGCATGCCCCAAAGCAGCTTTTGTTCGACCGGTCAGAGGTGGGCTTAAAGAACACGTCGTGGGCTAGGGAGTAGATGGAGCTGATGCGGTACAGGAGGAAGTGAAGCTGAGTGCACTTGCCGATGATTGATACCAGCGGTGTCAAGACCCGGCCTCTGTAGAGGACCCTGCTGCTGCTGCTACTGGGCAGTCGGAGGCAGTCGCCCTCCAGCAACAACGGAGGGCGGAGGAGCGACGCTCATAACAACGAGCGGAGCGCAGGGCGATTACGACGCTCACACATTGACACACACACACGGATGAGGCGTGGAGCGTGTGTGTGTGTGTCTCTGTGTGTGTGTCTGTGTGTCTGAGCGGTAGTGCGCTATGAACCCGGCCACCCGAGTTCGATTCCCGCTCAGGGTCAACACCGTCAAGGCCGGCACAGCCCACCGAGTAAGCTGGGTGGTCAATAACCACTCCCGGCCGCCTTTGTATCCCCGAGTCCTCATTTAAGGCCGAGTGGACATAGGGGAGGACCCAGTGTCAGGTCAAATGCTCGTCACCGATGTTGGCCGTGAGCCAGAATCGAACTCGAGTCACCGGGTTCGTATTGCAGTGCGCTAACCACTGCGCCACCGCTCCCCACTCTGTACACTTACGAACAGGGAGCTTCCGTCACCTGTGTGGGCGATGATTCATAAAGCAGCGCACGCACACAGAGACAGGTGCACTCTTAGAGAATGATGGATAACACAGTCACACATAGACACATAGACATGCTCACACACACACACCATAGAGACACACCGAGACACAACACAACACGCACGCACACAGACACAGATGCACTCTTAGAGAATGATGGATAACACAGTCACACATAGACACATAGCCATGCTCACACACACACACGCACCATAGGGACACACCGAGACACAACACACACGCACGCACACAGAGACAGGTGCACTCTTAGAGAATGATGGATAACACAGTCACACATAGACACATAACCAGGCTCACACAGACGCCATAGAGACACACTGAGACACAACACACACGCACACAGAGACAGGTGCACTCTTAGAGAATGATGGATGACACAGTCACACATAGACACATAGACATGCTCACACACACACACACCATAGAGACACACCGAGACACAACACACACGCACGCACAGACAGGTGCACTCTTAGAAAATTAAGGAATAAAACAGTCACACATAAACACATAGACATGCTCACACACACACGCCATAGAGACACATCGAGACACAACACACACGCACGCACACAGAGACAGGTGCACTCTTAGAGAATGATGGATAACACAGTCACACATAGACACATAGACATGCTCACACACACACGCCATAGAGACACACCGAGACACAACACACACGCACGCACAGAGAGACAGGTGCACTCTTAGAGAATGATGGATAACACAGTCACACATAGACACATAGACATGCTCACACACACACGCCATAGAGACACACCGAGACACAACACAACACACACGCACGCACTCAGACAGATGCACTCTTAGAGAACGATAGTGAGAGGTACACAGTTACGCACAGATAGACATACGACAATGAGACACACGGACATACACACATAAGCACGCAGACACTTATTGAGAGAATGCGGAGCGAGACACACAGACACACGTAGACACAGAGACAGAGATTCCCCGTGTGGGCTTGGACAGACTTTTTGGACAGAGCTTCTGAGTTGATTTTTGGGCAAAGTGCTTCTGAGTTGATTTTGATTCCTTACACCGATGTCGTCTGCCCGTGTCACCAGTGTACCGGCATATTTTTTGTTTATTACTCTTTGCAAAGCAAGATCCGTGGTGCCGCGCGTGTATCAGCAGCAGCAGCGCCAACAACAACAAAGACAACAAAATTCAATATCACGCAGAACGAGTGCAGAGAATATCGCAACAACTAACAAACGTAAAAACAAAAACATCAAAACAAACCCAGTGCCAATGTAATATCAGAGCAAGAAGTTAGGGATCGTCGAACAAAGACAAAGACCCCACCCCCCCTCGTATAGCTTCAACAGACTGTTGGGGCAAGTGCTGTTAGCGAGCAGCACCTGTGAAGGCCGGAACGGTACACGAGGCGGGGGGTGTGGGTGGCCGGCACCACGCTCGGCCGCCTTTGTATCCCCAGTGGCGATTAAATTTACACGCAGCATCAGGTACTCATTTGAGGCTGAGTTGACCTAGGTGATGCCCAGGACCGGTTCGGATGTTGGCCGTGAGCGAGTTCGTAGCGCAGCGCAGCTAACCACTACACCACCGCTCCCCACCAGCAATTCAGAGAGAGAGGGACACGCAGAGGGCGGCCTTGCTTAGGCTACGTCCATCTCTGAACCTTTATAAACATATTCTTAGGTGTTTTCGGTAAAGTCACGTAGGTAAAAACATCAAAATTAATAAAAATAATAAAATAAAAATAAAGATCACGACGTTTCGGAGGCAACACAAGTCTCCGAAACGTCGTGATCTTTATTTTTATTTTATTATTTTTTTATTAATTTTGATGTTTTTACCTACGTGACTTTACCGAAAACACCTAAGAATATGATTCCTTGCAGTCACGAAAGCTTCAAGTCTACCTTTATAAACAGTTTGCCTTTAGAGGCTAACCCCCCTTTTCCTGATGATAAACTAACCCGATCGAAACGTCGTGGGGTTTTTTTTACTATTATTATTTTTATTAACTTTATTTTATTACTATTTTTCTATCTACGTGACTTTACCGAAATAACTAAAGAATATGAATTCCTGCATTCACGAAAATTTTAAGTCAAAATTCAAAACCGGTGTCAGCCAGTGGGGATTATGAGCCCTCTGGAGCCCGAATTCAGAAACTACCATTGGGTGGGTGCTGGGTGGGTGCCCCTCCCCTCCACCCGTGCACCCCCACCCCCACCTCACTTTCAAATGTATAAACCCACGGAGAGATGGCAGAAGAGATTGAGAAAAGATACAGAGACGTAGCCAAGCAAAGAGAAGAGAGATGCCGCTCAGACAGAGACGTGGCGGGGAAGTGAGAGATAAGGGAGATGCAGGCAAGACAGATATTAGAGTGCGTCCATCACTCGTCTGAGTATGTTTACTTAAAAAAAAACCACTCACAAATTTAATCGGATTTAGTTTTATTGTGTTTTATTGCGACTCAACTCGAGCCCGGTACAAAGCGCCGGTCACGGGGGGCTGAGTGTGGGGGGGGAGGCTGAGGGTGGGGGGCTGAGGGTGGGGGGGGCTGAGGGTGGGGGGGATGAGGGTGGGGGGGCTGAGGGTGGGGGGAGGGTTGAGGGTGGGGGGCTGAGGGTGGGGGGCTGAGGGTGGGGGCTGAGGGTGGGGGGGGGCTGAGGGTGGGGGGGCTGAGGGTGGGGGGCTGAGGGTGGGGGGGGCTGAGGGTGGGGGAGGGCTGAAGGTGGGGGGGCTGAGGGTGGGGGGCTGAGGGTGGGGGGCTGAGGACAGAAACTCCACGTGCTAAATCCCGAGAGATCGGTGCGCCGGTGGCTTCGCGAAGGGGCGACATTCGTGCTCCCTGCAATGTTTACTACGATTCGAACTCGAGCTCTTATTCGGTTCCCCCCGTCGGGTTTTTTTCTTAACTCTCTCCAGAATTCGGGGGTCCCGTTGCTCCTCACTCGTGCCTCTAGAGCAGCGGTCGGGAACCTATGGCTCGCGAGCCATATATGGCTCTTCCAGTGACGGCATATGGCTCCCAGACAATTTTGAGTTGAAAAAAATAATAATAATAAAAAAATAAAAAAATCAGTTTGGAACTGATTTTAAAATACTTGTGATATTGTTTAATAATACTGTGTCATTTTAAAGTAAACA